AGAAGAAGTCATAAATATTTTGATGGCGATTGTGGGGATTATGATTTCCAAAATGGTGGCCGTACGAACCCTCCCCCAGCACTGTGCCTTGCAAACGTGGGGAACCAGTGTGGTGCAGTGTTAGGTGGGGTTGGCCCATACGTTGAGATTCTTAAACGGTCCTGTTCAATTCAATTGTGGGAAGTCTTAAACGGTCCTGTTCAATTCAATTGTGGGGAAGTCTTTTAATAGAAGAGATATCAATTTTTTTTATAAAAATACGGATTAGTTGTGGGGTTTATACGATATCGAATTTTAACGATTCAAATTGTTTATTTTTTAAGTTGCACCTCATAGATCATTCTTGCAAAATATTAGTTAAATTGGAAATATTTAAACATCTAATTGGGTTTAAAAAAAATAACGAATACTTTGTTATATAAAAAACAATGAAATTTTATCTTGATAATTAAACAGACAAATAATTTTGGATTGAATTGAATTTTTGTAAAGATGATCTATGAATCGAGACTTAGACGGTTCAGATCGTTGAAGTTTGATGCAGGGTGGGCCCCACACCTAATCCCCATTTTTTTGAAAAATTGAGAATCCCTTTGCCTAAAGGGCATGTTCAATTGTGTATTTGAGAATTTAGTCTATAGCGATTGCCACATTGCCTTCTCTATATTTTATGGGCAAAACCTACCTCGATTTTGTTAAGATTTTAAATAGACGAATCAACTTCCTACTACTAAACATATTGATATTATATTATTTGCACAACATGATAAGTGTGAGAGTTTTAATGTAACTAGAAGTGAAACCACTCAAATATTCCTATTTAATTTTGCCAATTTTTCAATGCAGGATTTGTATTCCTCGTTCACCTTCAAGCCTACTGGCTAGGTAGAAGATTTGCGGCTCATTTGGAAATACTTTTAAAAATGACTGAAAACGCTTTTAAAGAAAATATTTTTTGGTCCAAAAGCACTTAAAGTGTTTTATGTTAGAAGCACCAATTATGTGTTTCTTGTATGAAGCACTTCAAGTGTTTTTTCAGGATTTATTTGTAATTTTACTATAGATTTGTTTCAAAAACACTTTCACAAAAAACACTTTTAATCATTATAAAAGTACTTCCAAACGGGTCACATTGTCAACTCAGCGATACATTAGTATGAATAAACTCTACTTTGCACCCGTTGTCATATACTTGTCATAGTTTGATTTTTATCCTATAAATAATTACTAGTTCTGAACAAAATTATGGAACAAAGAGAGAGCGTGGAAGAGGTAAAAATTTTATTTTTCAAAATCTAAAATTAGAAATATGCTATAATTGAGGATGAAAAATGACACACCCCGACCTAAATTCGAGGCATGCTGGCCATCACGTGAGAGTGACATAGCCAAGTGTACAATGCGGAAGCAATAATGATATAAGAAATGCGAATAAATAAAAACCAACTGACTAAAATACTAGATGAGATAAGATGAAAGTGCGATATTAAAAGTGACTACGCATAACCATAGCGTAGGTAGGCTAAGTGTAGTCCAGCAAGACGAATACTAGTTATACAATACCAAAGATGGTCCTACAATTGTGATGAAATGTCAGAACCACTGTCAATTCCTCGTGAGCCACCAACGAGCAATCCTACCTAAAACCTGGAGGGGTGCAAAACAGAAAGTGTGAGTGGGCAAAAACAAAGTTTTTCAAAACCATTTCACTATCAAAAGTAGTAACCCCTCGCCGTAAAATTCCCAGAAAATAGCATATACGATTATATCTCAAAGCATATTCAAATAGCACCGAAAATACCATGTCAAATCTCAACAAGAAATAAGTAAGCCAGGTGCAATAAATCAATAAGAAATAATATGTCAGTCGGAGTCACCTAAAATGACTTGTACGGCTGGGTCCACAACTCATCAATCAAATTTTGCACACGAGTTGGAACCATCTAATGTGGTCTGAACGATAGGCTAGATGTACATAAATACGCTCAAGTGCTACAGTCACGTGAAAGCTGTGCGAAGTATCGCAAGTCACCTACTAGTCGGAACCACCTAATGTGGTATGTACGACAGGCTAGCACATGCCTTGGATCCAAGGTGAGCGTGAGGTGTGGGAGGTGAACAATCACGTAAAGGCTAGGCCTTATCCTCAGGCGGAGCACTAACACCGGGGTGCAGATTAAATAGCTCGAAATGCATCTCAGCACTAATATATTCACTACCATCACTACCATCAATATACTCACCTGAAGTTTACCTGAGCGTCCACAGCGTCGAGCAACAATATATATATAACCATAATAATGCACAATTAAACATAAAGAGCATTTGACATGGCTTTCAAAGTATCAAATCATTTAATTAAGTTTTATGGGAAAAATACCAAGTGTATATATATATATATATTGAAAACCAAAAACCCAATCACTAATATGTGGAAAGGTTGTAACCCCCGAGCCTTGCTTGATTGTGCTCGTCCTTAGGATAGGTCTCACCTATATGCGAACAACTATTTAAACATTATTTTTAAGCACATAAACAAAATTAGGTAATAACTTCTCATACATTACTCAAATGGGGTATTTGAATATACCACCATATCCTACTCAACCTTAGGAACAACCCCATATTTTTAGAAATTTTTTCCGACCACTCATGCGCCGGCCAAGGCACGGCCAGACGTGCGGCCCACGTGCAGGCACGTGCCTGGCACACTGACGGATTCCTTAACATCGTTAGGGAATGTTCCGTTAAATAAAAGCATATTCCATTAAAGATACTTGACGCCTTTAGAATATTCCGTCAACTTTGACGGAATATTCTCCCCCTTCTTCCTTGGTTCGCCGGAGTTCGGCGTCGATCACCGCTGCGATCGTCGGATTCTGGAAAAATTTTAAAGCTTCATATCTCTTCCATTTCTCAACCAAATTCGATGAAATTTGAACCAAAATGAAGCTTACAACGAGTAGAACACATTCTTACCACTTTGGGGACCTAAATTCAACGGAAACTCGCCGAAAAAACTCGAGGGAACTGGCCAAAGCCTACAACTATATAAACTCGATTGTTCTTATGTCAAAACCACTCCAAAATTGATCCAACGTGCTAGAATAGTAAGAATAATACTTTCTTAGGTCTCAAAACAACTTAAAACCTTCGCGATCATGTCGGAGGAAAAATCACCCCTCGCCGGAGTTCGGGTAATTCAAGTTCTACAAGCTCTCATGACCAACTAAGGGTATGAATCAACTCTTGGGCTTGCAAGGAACATGAAAACCACCTTCACAGTCTTGATCCATGCCTCCAAAGGTTGGTTGAAATTTGTCCGTACAATTGTACGGAAATGGAAAGAAGTCCAAGAGGGAAGGAGAGAGAGAAGGGTCAACGTGATTGGTTGGTGTATGTGTGTGTGGTCCATTTTTGCAGCCAATCAACCAAAACCTTAGACCTTTTAGTTCTAATTGGGTCCAATTAATTAGGAATAGAACTAATTGGTCCAAAACCTTAGCCTATACACACACGACTCAACGTTTAAAGGGCATAATAGAAATTTCCATGCTCTCGAGGATAAAATAATATATACGTTCGGGACGAGCTGTTACAAAAAAGATTAAAATTTAGTTTGTGCGAAATTACATACTATGATTTTATTTTGTGATAAAATATCAAATTGTATTTTCACTTTCTTTTGAGCGACAGAAGGGAGTTTTTTAACAAGTGAGTTTGTTCGTGTTAATGGATTGTTACTAAGCATGAGTGGTTGTATTACATTAATATTCGTAACAAATGAAAAAAATTATATACAATAAGTTGAAGGGCGGTGAGCTGAGTTTCACAACAAACTTGTAATAATGCGATTTAATTTTACTTTTGACGAAAATCAAATCTGAGACCTCTCACTTTTAAATAAAAAAATACCATTAGAATGTAATAACGAAAATTTAATTTAACATTTTAGAATTCTATGACAATGAAAGCCCGATCCCTATCAATCGCATGCTTAAATAAAAAAAATACCATTAGAATGTAATAATGAAAAATTAATTTAACATTTTAGAATTCTATGACAATGAAAGCCCGATCACTATCAATCGCATGCAAAACAAAAAAGCGACCTTCCACAAAAAAGCAAAAGTAATAAAATAATAATAAAAAAATAAAAAAGGATCCTTCATTCAAGGCGACAAAAACTCCAACACAATGATGATGACGCACAACACAACAACAGAGAATATTTCATTCCCATCTCAAGACCGTCGAGACACCTCGTATTACCGCCACTTAAAGTCAAACACAGGCTTACATCTCCACCGTTCATCTGTCATCACTGCTACTCAATCAACGGTCAGCTTCCCTCCAATTTCAAACTCCCCCTTCTCACAAACGGAGGCGAGGCGACCGTATATATTCCACTCGCTTGGCGGTCTCTCTTCCTATCCTCTTCACTCCTCTCACTCCTCTGCTCTCTCTCTCTCTCTCTCTCTCTCTCTCTCTCTCTCTCTCTCTAAACTTTTCTGGAACTAACAAATCTTGAATTTTGGTAGCTTTTATCAGTAGGAATTATAGAATCCAGATCCAAATTTGGACCATTTCCCCTCAATTTTCTTGTTCAAAGATCAAAACTTTGACCTCCAAAAACTGGTTAGTTACTCAAAAAATGAGTTTATCTTTTTTTTTTTTTTTTTTTTTTAACTTTCATTGAATCTTTTTTATTTAATTTCCACAATTTAAGGTGAAATAGTTAGCCTAGGAAAATTTGACATGGGTTGTCAACAGTCACTACTGTCTTGATGTCTAATTCTCTTCTGTTTTGCACACGTCTTTCGAAGTTGACCAGATCAGTGTGCTTTGAAAAATATAGATTAATTTAGTGGGGATAAAATAAAAAGTTAAAGATGTAATGTTTCTTACAAATTTTTTCACTTTTCAGCTTCCCAGAAACGAAGGCCTGACTTGAACTCCAAGTGGAACTTGAACTGAATTGCTCTCTGGTACTGCTAGCAATGGCGGTCGATGCGAGCACAATTGCAACGGAATCAATGAAAATTCTGATGGCCTCCGACCACACATCAGTGGTTTCGATGAACCTTTTCGTGGCGCTTCTCTGCGCTTGTATTCTACTTGGTCATTTGCTGGAGGAAAGTCGATGGATGAACGAGTCCATCACAGCCCTTGTAATTGTAAGTCAGCTTTTATTGTTCTACGACGGTATAGGAAATGATTTCCGCACATCCCTGTTCATTTTTGTCCGTTGATTTGTTCAATCCAATTGCGAGAAATAACGAATGGCGTGCAAGGAGAGGAAATGAGCGTGCGGAAATCACTTCCTTACGTGCATATGTATTTGTTATATGTGTGTGTTTATGGAGAACCGGAAATGATTTTGCGGGAGTTTTTGTTTTGGTGGGCAGGGACTGTGCACAGGAGTTGTAATTTTGCTCACAACTGGAGGAAAAAGCTCACATTTGTTGGTGTTCAGTGAAGATCTCTTCTTTATATATCTGCTTCCGCCTATCATTTTTAATGCCGGGTAAGTTCAATGCGGTTTTGTGGATGTAGGTTTAACTCATTGTTTACCTGATCAGTTTAATTAACCGTCAAAACGTACGCAATCGGTATATGGTTCGTTGCTTTTTATATAAGTTTGACAATTTATCTAAATTAACATAAACGGCATGAAATGACCGGAGTTCTGCTCGATAACAGGAGCTGCAGTGCTTAAGCATTAGTACAAGTCAAAATTGATTGTTACTGCATAATAACTCGATCGATGTAAACTTTAAAAGAGTGTATTAATGGAATTTAGTAAATAATTGATCTTTTCTTCTCAACGTCATCAGGTTCCAGGTCAAGAAGAAGCAATTTTTTCGTAATTTCATGACTATCGTGACGTTTGGTGCTGTTGGAACTCTCATATCCTTTGCCATCGTATCCTTAGGTAACTCGACAACCTGAGGATTTTAGCTTTTGTAGCATAGGTTTCTGCTGGAAGGTTTAAAGATGTGAGACATTTGCGTGTTAGGATATTTGTGCAGAGCAAAAATGTTCGAAACAATACATCATTTAAAGTATGAGCAGGACTGCCTCTTCAGTATAATTGGTTTCAACAAGCTTCTGCGTTACTAGCTTCTTCGATTTTGATTGACCAGCGGATAATTTCAATGATGGTTTTAATGGTTGTTCATGAATTCTTTTGTATTTTGAACCAGGTGCAATGCACTTTTTTCACAAGTTCAGTGTCGGTTCCCTCAAGATTGGAGATTATCTTGGTATACTTTATGTCTTCAAATTATTGCTGTTTTGTTTTTGTCTTGTTATTTTCTGCTTTATTGGATCAGTCCCTTGGTTGCAGCACTTGGCGCGATATTTTCTGCAACCGATTCTGTTTGCACCTTACAGGTATGCATGGTCTTTGTGTCTTGTGAAGGATGTGCTCCTGTTGCAGATTTAATAACGACGACTGAATTAATCCAAACTTTTGAATGCAGGTGCTGAATCAGGATGAAACGCCTTTGTTGTACAGCCTGGTTTTTGGGGAAGGTGTCGTTAATGATGCTACATCAATAGTGCTTTTCAATGCGATTCAGAGCTTCGACCTCTCTCACATCAATACAAGCACTGCTTTGCAATTTTTTGGAAACTTTTTATATTTGTTTGTTACAAGTACAATCCTGGGAGTCGCAGTAAGCCTCCCTCCCTCCCTCTCTCTCTTTCTCTCTCTCTCCCAAAATAAATTTCAGACACATACATCTTTTTTTTCTTAACGCTACTTTCTTGCAGGCTGGACTACTAAGTGCATTTATCATCAAGAAGCTCTACTTCGGCAGGTTTGTATAATTTTACACTGGAGGACGGAGTTTTTAAACGTGACTTCGAGTAGTGGTCTTATACTTGTTTTTTCTAATTTTCAATAATCAGGCACTCAACTGATCGCGAAGTCGCTCTTATGATACTCATGGCTTACCTGTCATACGTGCTGTCTGAAGTAAGATTTGTGACAACTCGTACATCGTGTTTCTTTGGTTTTGTTTCTTATCTAAAAAGAGCTCTGACCATAAAACAAAATTTTGATTTATCATTCAGCTATGTTATTTGAGTGCCATTCTCACTGTGTTCTTTTGCGGAATTGTTATGTCTCACTACACATGGCATAACGTGACTGAAAGTTCACGAGTGACAACTAAGTACGTTAAATATCCATAAACATCTTCCTGGAAAATTGAGAGGCGTTCTCATTCGATCTGCCGAAACCTGGGGAAAACATTGCTGATGTTTCATTCTCTTTACAAACTAATGCAGGCATACTTTTGCCACTCTCTCATTTGTGGCCGAGATCTTTATCTTTCTTTATGTCGGCATGGATACCCTGGACATTGACAAGTGGAGATTTGTGAGTGATAGGTATGATCAATGCAGAAAAAGGAAATCGGCCTCCTTTTAAACTCGTTACGTCTTGTACAACGTGTTTAGTTGATCTCCGTTGGTTAATTTTGCTTTGCTTTATTTTCATTGTTCAGCCCTGGAAAATCCATGGCGGTGAGTTCGATACTGTTGGTACTGGTTCTGGTTGGAAGAGCAGCCTTTGTTTTTCCCTTGTCTTTCTTATCCAACTTGACTAAGAAATCTCCACAAGACAAGCTTAGTTTAAAGCAACAAGTAAGAGTTTATCCAATTCTATCTCTTTTGGTGTACATTCTTTGAATCAAATGAAATATTACAGATCTCCGCGCATTTCCCGGTTTTCAGGTTACAGTTTGGTGGGCGGGGCTTATGCGTGGCTCTGTTTCAATGGCACTTGCTTATAATCAGGTAAGATTGAACGCTACGTAGTCCTTTCTGTTGCCTATGAAACTCATTTTTTGTAATCTTCGGGACTTTTAAGACAGTTGGACGAAAGCGAGAAGAACTTCATGATTGTGTACTCGTTCTTTGCTTGGGAAAGTTTTGTCACACAAACATTGATATTTTGTTTTGAATGCGTATGCAGTTTAATAGGTCTGGCCATACGGACTTGCGTGCGAATGCGATCATGATCACCAGCACCATCACAGTTGTTCTTTTCAGCACGGTGGTAAGACACCTGCGACTTGAAAACCGGACTCATTCGGGACACATTTTGTATATAAACCCGCAAATGATTGGTTTGGTATATTACATCCTTTTGTTTATGCAGGTGTTTGGTTTGATGACTAAACCACTTGTGAGAATCTTGCTTCCTGTCTCAAAACACGTCTCGAGTATGATTTCTTCTGAACCGTCTAGTCCTAAATCAATCGTTGTGCCACTACTCGGCAATGGCCAAGATTCAGAAGTGAACTGTGGGGTGGAAGATGCAGAGGCAAACATAGGACCCGTGGACATACCCCGTCCAACTAGTTTACGAATGCTCTTAAGCTCTCCTTCTCACACCGTCCACCATTACTGGCGAAGATTTGATAATGCTTTCATGCGGCCTGTTTTTGGCGGGCGGGGTTTTGTGCCTTTCGTTCCAGGCTCACCTGTTGAAGAAATTGGAAATCAATGGCATTGAGACGGAACTAACACACATATATAACTACTTATACACAATTACAGATGAGCACTAATTTATGTAATGTATAGGTTGTGCTTGAGAGTGGCTGCAGTGTGCATTTGTTCATACAAAGGATACTTGTTTCGTGTGGTGACAGCATTTTACACAGGATGAGCTGCTTGTTTCGTGTGGTGGTTCGGAAATTTTCGTGTCTGCGTAGGTTGCTGATTAGGTTAAATCCTTAGCACAGTTGATGCCCTTGTAAGTTTTGTGTGATTGGTGTTGTAATGATCCTTCAAATTTTTTGATTTCGGAAATTGCATCAACTGAGTGGTTTGAAAAATCAACGGTTAGATCTTGCATATAGGGATCTAATATATCTTTGCAACGGTTAGATGAAAAATAAGAGAAGATTTTTGGCTCCGCGTTACCATTTTCATCACCTATAGAAGAGATTAATGTCGTTCGTACAAACAAGCAATCATCAATAGATGAAAATACCCTTTTGGCCTACGCCTTATGCCGAAAAGGAAGATTACCAACTAACTCTTAGTTTAGTGGTACTTCTCAAGTGAACTTCGAATGTTAATCAAACTTTTGATTAACATTCGAAAACCTAATCACGCTCATCTGATCACTGAATTTCTTGGAACATAAGCTTCAAAACAAATTTGGTATCCACAGGAGGCCATTTTTACCAAACAAAACATTATTTGGGAGAAGTTCTTACATGCAGAATTCAGATTAGATCCATATATTACGCATCACACGGAAGAACATCTTTGGTGTCAGAAACATGCATGCAGATCCTTCTCACCCAGTCAAGAAGGAGAAACAACTTCGTTTCACGGTCTAATATCCAGGACAGAGAATTGTCTCTACGGATGGATATAGTATCCGATTGCTAGACTGACGAGGGCAACCATACAAACATGGAAGAGAGGGAAGCCAACCGTGACTGTTTTTAAATTGTTCTTCCTCCTCCTCAACGACTCCTACGAAGAGAAAAGGCGGACATCAGATCTCCAGACGGGGCACATAAGAGCAGCGAGGTTCAAATGATGAAAAAAGAAGACTGAAACAAAATAATGAATTGATTGGATGGAAAATCTACTCATCCATATCTCTCATTCTTCATACTATCTGAATCAAAGGCGGTTATGGGAGAGAACGCATACTTCATTTACCGATTATGCAGCTATCCTCTGATGAAGATAATAGAAAAGTGAAGGATTCGCGGGATAAATTACTCACCAATTCATGTTTAAGCATATTCTTCTCTCGAGTGGACCTGCTACTCTCTTCCATTAACTTCATGATGGTAAGTTCAGCCTGCAAAGAATATGTGACAAATTTAAGATCACTTCTATTTACAGTTTCAAGGAGGGGTCACACGAATGTTAACATTACAAAGAGTACTAGAAAGTAGGATCCACCCAATGGAAATTTGAGGAGCAACACACCCGGAATTGGGCCATGTATGGGATACGATCTTCCTACCCAGGAATGAAAAGAATTGATGCATTATAAGCCTAGTCCACTACAATGGAATATGGAATATGGAAGAGGGAGGACGAGAGGAGGAGCGGGGGTGGGAGAGTGTGAGAAATCATACTGCTGAATGTATTTGCAACAATTCACAGTTAACTACGGCACTTCAACATGCTTAAATAGTAACCTCTTCCCATATTATTCCCCTGTCAACTTTCTTAATTTCAGATATCTTTCCTACTATCCTTCCATGAGAATGACAACATCTTTTGTCAAAAATACGTTTTTCATGGTTACCACGTTATAAAGATATCTAGATGAGAAAAACAGACCTCTTTTAGCTTTGAACCCACTGTATTTAGCTTTGATTTCAGTTCCTCAAAATCCTTTGTTAAATTCAACTCAGCAGCACCCCTAGCTGGTTCCAGTTCCTCCATGTCCTTAGCTGTTTTCGATTCTTCCATATTTTTAGTTGGTTTCGATTCCTCCATATCTTTAGCTGGTTTCAAATCCTTCATGTCCTTTGCTGGTTTCAATTCCTCCACATCCTTAGCTGGTTTTGATGCCACAACATCCTTAGCTGCTCTTGACTCATCCACGTCCTTACAAGTTTCAAACGCGTTAACATCCTCAGCAACCCAGCACAAGGAAAACAGATTATGGTTTATTACAATATGTGAACAACTCTTTTTTGACACATCTGATTTCAAAATTGATTACAATATAAAATAACACTTGCACAAAATCATTTACTCCTACTAACATACAGATGAAAATCAATGCTGCCTACCACATTAAAATGCTAGTGCGAATAACATTTGGCACTCTCACACACATGCACATAATCAAGAAAAATTAATATTCGAACACATATACACAGAACAAAGAAACAAGAAATAAAAGATGAATATCAAACAAACGAAGAAGGAATATTCGAACACATACACAGAACAAAGGAACAATAAATAAGAGATGAACATCAAACAAACGAAGAAGGATAAGAGATCAGTCAAGAATTCAGTTCAACGGACAACATTATTGCTCTTACCCCATGACTCGGAGGTATATTTTCAACTCCACTCAAAACCCTATCCATTTTCACTGAAGTGTCATAACATGGATCTTGCTTTGACTCTCCATTGATTGGTACAAATACTGGGGATGCGGTTGGGCTAATAAGCATCACTTTTAACCTCCTTTCTTCAACGTATCTGCTGCTATCTTTTGAAAACTGCCAAAAAAATTGAGAAGTTAAAACAAGAATTTTACCGAACAACTTTAGACCAAGAGACGGCCAATCATTCTTAATATCTTACCATCTGAGATGTAATCTCCTGTTCAGTTGTCCCAAAAGGAATAACGGTGCTCTGGATTAGGAACTTGTCTTTGCACAGCAAATCCGGTGGAGCTACATTCTGAGCTTGCATAGTAACTGCATTGACCAAAAAGGTGAAGAGTCAAAATCCATTTAGCTTCGGCGCTACATTTTGGGTCAGCGCCATAACAGGCAACTAACAATGTCGATGCAAGTTTACGCTTAACAATATGTCCTCATAATCTTACGAACAGACGCATTACAGTACATGTATGAACAGAAAAACGTTGCTAGACTGTCAATTCCAATCAAGTAAATTCGTGTTCCAATATCTGATCCGTATTGACAATCATAACATATAATGCTTCGCCTAAGACGACATATCATCAATGCATGCATTAGGACTCAAACCACAGAGACAACAACACATTACAGAAAAACACAAAAACCCCAAGATGAAGAGAGATGAAGAACACAAGACCTGTGAAATCACATGTTGTGTTAGGCTTTACAATGCCTGCATTCGGCCGCACGCAATATTTCTTCGGAGAAGTGGTCTTCACCTGCAATCAAATTTTGCCAAATAGCAAACCAAAACATTAAGCACACCCAATTCATCTCCTGAAGCCCAAATCAAACCCAAATTTTTCTCAATTTCGGCCACATTTTCATCAAAAGTGACTAAATCATATATGTTTCCATGCACACAACACACGATCTACAAAAAACAATAAGGAATTCAGAAAATTAAAAAAAAAGAAAGAAAAAAACTGTGAAAGTTTGAAGCAACTACAATACCTTGAAAGCAACATAGCGATCGGACTTGTTGCCGAGTTGAATCGAGCACGTACTCTGCTTCTTAACCTCAACTGCAATCGGGAAACAAAACAAGACACGATTAAACAATAATGAATAAACAAGGTAGTGCGATCAGTTGTTTCTTAGGTGTGATGAAATAATACTAATTAAAGTTATGAACCCAAAAAAAAGTGGGAAATTAGCAAATTACAAGTGAATGTGAGCTCGGGGGGATGAACATCAAGAAGCTCTGGCGCCGTCGTCATCGGCAGTTCTTGAGGGAATGCAGGCGGATGAGAAGAACCCAGACGAAGAAACTAGAGAGAGAGAGAGAGAGAGAGAGAGAGAGAGAGAGAGTGGGATTCTAGAGAGAGAAAGTGTGGGAATGGAGGAATGGGTGGTGGTGGTGGTGCTCAGTTGCTGAAATACAACCACTGACAGTGGCAATGGGTCTCTCTCAATTGTTGAACTGTACCCGCTTCCCCACCTTTATTTTATTTCTTAGCAAGCACCCCAAGCAAACCAAATTGACCCAATTGCCCCCAACATGGTGAGGTAAATAGTTGTAGTTCTGGGTACGTGTTTGTTGTCAATCTCAGTCAAAATCCAACTTTCAACTCAAATTATGTCTAATTTCACCCATATATGATATATTTGAGAGAGGAGGTATTTTATATAAGCGAATATAACTTATGCACTCGAGTGAGAATTTTTTCTACTCTCTCAATTTAATTTAGTTTAAAGTAAAATATCACTTGAATAAAAATAAATAAAAACTTTTGGATCTTAAATTTAGACTTGAATCCTCGTTTTTACACTTGAAAGTGAAGAATTGGATACCATTTGAATGGAAAGTTCGACTCAGATTGAGACGAACAAAAAATTTAGGACAGTGTTATCTACACACCTATTTTTACTTCTTACACACTCCTTTCAATTTTCGATAATCGAATCGAATGAATTGAAGAAAAAAATCAATAAATAAAAATTAACAAGGATGTGTGACTACTCAAATTTTACCACACATTATTAAGAAGAAGTTTTTCACCACAAATATTAACGTTGACGTTGCATGCACGGTAATTTTGTGCAACTTAAGGCATTCAAGGGCAAAAGGAAAGTAGCAAGTAGCAAAGCAAAGCCACCAAACTAGACAAGAACTGGCCACTGCGTACCACGTGGACGTGGACGTGGACGTGCACACTACCCTTTTTACTTTACCGAAAGTTAAGAGCTTAAAAAGGAGAAGCCAAAAATAAATAACAAAGATTTTCTTCTTCTTTTCACCTGCCCTTTTTCGGTTTTTCCTCTTCTTTTCCAAAGGAAAAGGTGGGAAGTAAAAAATGAATCTAAAGAAATAATTGATTAATGTTATTTTTGTATGTGATGTTGTGTCACACATGATTGCTATAATTATATGAAATGAAAATGTGGAGTTTAGACTTTTAGGTTTGATTTTCTTTGTCAATATTGTACCACGTGTTTAATTTAACTTTAGGCTTTTCTCTATATTTGGGTTGTGTCTGTTGTGAAGAAATGTACAAGGATGAGACACATCTCACTTCAAAAGGTTTGTTCATGCATGTGCATTTCACATCTATATTCCTGCTTCATTTTGACTAGCTTAATTGTTTAGTCAGGCTTGCGTGCGAATTTCCTGCAAGCTGGGCACACAAATTAAGACCTACCCACATGGGCTTCTTGACAGCTTTCTATCGATAGTCAGATCTCAGCCCTTAATCTTGTCTGATCAGTTTGTAGAACGACATGTGTCCTTGGTAGGTGAAAAAAAAATTGAAGCTTTGGAGTTAAGATCCCTAGCTAGGGATTCTTTCTTTTTGGGATTTTTCAGATTATATTTCTAGTGAGAAGTTAGCATGAGAAAGGCATTAAGACTTTACATGCCTTTTTGTTCTTCATTTATGAAACCCTAGTTGCAAAACCTTCTTTCATGCATTAAACACCCAATCATTGAAGAATATGGTTGCGTTGTCTTTGGTTTTGCATTAAATTAGGGGTCAAGTGTTTCTAGTTTCAAATCTTTAAAACTGACCCATTTTAGGATTCTCGTCAGTTTCTTCCTTCAACTGTTTGATTGCAGAAACTAACTAGACATCTGAATCCAGATCTGCATATCATTGTCACATCATCATGTGCATAGTTCGTGAGCTGGTCTCGGTGCCATAAGGTGAAGAGTTCATGAGGAGCTGCCACTTCGTAAAAATCGAAGGAATCCATCTTGTGTGAAGCAAGATTGCACAAAGGTAAAACTACTCCATGGATATGGTTCTAGGAATTGAGCTTTACGTGGTACTTTGTAAGAACCATGATTATACTAATGGATTGGACTCAGTGTAGAGTTCCCGGTTTTTTAACCCAGAGGTTTGTTTTTCCAGCCAAAAAATATTGTGTTCATAGTTACTTATATTGTGTCACATACCTCACATACATATACATATTACATGTATCACTTGAATATTTAATAAGTATGTGCTCACAATCATGCTCACCTGACATGCTAATAACTTGGAACAAACTAAAAGCTTGCTGACTAGGATAAATATTGATAACTGAGATTGGTCATTTAATCTTTGGTTTATTAACAAACATATCTATCTTAGTCGACTAGCAGGCTTGACTAGTCAGTCTAGCAAATTATTATTTTTATATAGAGAATATTCTTCCTGTTACTAATTTAAAAAAAAAAAAAAATTTATGGTGGGGTTTGTAAATTTAGTGATAACTAACATTTAATCGTGTATTTAATATCAAAACTCAAGTCTCTTCTCTATTTGTTTTTTTGTAAAGTCTAGCTTTAAGTGTTTGGCTTTCCTTGTCAAGTATTGTAATTGAACCATCACACACGCTCAATTTAGCTTTAGAATATACTCAGATTATGGGCTATTGTTGTTGGAGTAAATGTTTAAGAAGTGGCACATTTCAACTCAAGGGTTTGTTCATGCATGTGTATCTCATATCTCTATTTGTGTTGCATTCTGTCTAGGTTAATTGTCTAGTCAGTTTTGCGCCCTGACTTCCAGTTGTTTAGGCACATAGATTAAGACAGCCCACATGGGCTCACAGACACCTTTTTGATGGTAGTCAACTTCTGGCCATTGATCTGCCTAGATCTCTTTTGTAGCAAACAAGTGTTATTGGGACAAGTTGGCTGATGAAAAATCTGATTTCCTGGGGTATATTTACTTCTAGGGTTTTAGATTGTTCTTGGAGGGGGGGGAGGGGTTTAGAACTTAGTTTTAGAGATAGGGAGTTGCCTTAAAGGCTTGAAGTTTGCATCTTCTCCATTTATGAACCCTAACTGCCAAACCTTCCTCATGCATTAAACACTCAATTATTGTCTATTAGAGTTGCATTGTTTTAAGATTTTGCATTTAAGTCTTGGTCTGGTTTTAAGCTTTAAATTCGATTTTAGACCAAACTTTTGGATTCAAGTTAGATTCTTCCTTTAATTGTTTGACTGGAGAATCAGACTGAATCAGACTGGTCATTGGAATCCAGATTTCATGTGCATATCATAAAATCATGTCACATCATTGATCGTGTTGATCTTGGTGCCACAAGGTGATAAGCTCAGGAGGAGCTGCCACTTCGTGAAGATCGAAAGAGTCAATCTCGTGTAAGATAAGGTTGCACAAAGGTAAAGCTGCTTTATAGATAGGGATCTATGAATTGAGCTTGTGTGGTCTTTGTATGAGCTTTTGTTGACACTAGTGGATTTGACTCAGTGGAGAGTTCCTGGTTTTTTTTAACCCAAATGTGGGTTTTTTAGGCCAAAAATCTCTTGTGTTCAAGTTATGTTTATTGTGTCACACATCCCACATACACATACATGATACATATATCTGTTGAACATTTAAATGGTATGTGCTCACTATTGTGTTCACTTGACACATTAATAACTTGCAATGATCAACATCCTTGATAACTAGGATAATTTTGGGAACTGAAATTGGTATTTGAATCTTAGATTTATCGACTAACAAATCTATCTTAGTTGACTAGCGAACTTGATTAGTCAGTCCAGCGGATTATAATTTTTATATACAGGATATTCCACATGGTACCAATTTCAATTGGTATCAGAGCATAGCTCTAGATATAAATAGAGTGATCTCTGAAATTTGCTGGTATTGGGTGAAATCTCACCATGGATCGTGATCATGTCAGTGGCTAGTGCAATACACCTCTATTCTTGGATGGTACAAATTATGCTGCTTGGAACGAGAAGTTTCAGAAATTCCTTGAGGCTCAAGATCTTATAACTGCTGATTATATCACTCTTGAGTGGAAGGCTCCATCGAGGTGAGTCAATGAAGAGTCTATGATTAAGCCAAAAGGTGAATGGACTCAAAGAGAAATTGTTTCGGCCATGGCTAATAGGAAAGCAAACAATGCAATTGTTTCTGTCATTTCGTCTAATCAATTTGCTTATGTTCGATATTGCATAACTGCCAAGCAAGCTTGGGACAAACTCCGAATTCTTCATAAGGATGATAAACAAGTGAAAGATTTAAAGCTTCAAATGACCCTTTCGAAATTTGAAGATTTGAGAATGCTCGAGTTTGAGACTTTCTCGGTCTTCTTTGAGAAAGTTGAAATGTTAACAAATGAAGCTTTGGGGTTAGGGAAGCCTATTTATGTAACAATCGTTGTTCAAAAGATTTTAAGATGCTTGCCCAAGAGATTTCAAGCAAAGAAGGCCGTCATTCAAGAATTTCAGGACCTAAATTGTAACATCCCATATCGCCCAAGGGAGTGATCCTTAAATGTATATTCACATCCCTACCTAGCACGAGGCCTTTTGGGAGCTCACTGGCTTCGGGTTCCGTAGGAACTCCAAAGTTAAGCGAGAAAGAGGCCAGAGCACTCCTAGGATGGGTGACCCACTGGGAAGTTGCTTATGAGTTCCCAAAAACAAAACCGTGAGGGAATGGTATGCCCAAAGCTGACAATATCGTGCTACGGTGGTGGAGCAGGCCAGGGAAGTGATCCGTCGCGAGCCGAGATGTGACAATTGGTATCAGAGCCAATCCCTGGGCGGAAGTGTGCCGATGAGGACGTCGGGCCCCTAAGAGGGGTGGATTGTAACATCCCACATCGCCTAGGGGAGTGATCTTTAAATGTATATTCCCATCCCTACCTAGCACGAGGCTTTTTGGGAGCTCACTGGCTTCGGGTTTTGTAGGAACTCCAAAGTTAAGCGAGAAAGAGGCCAGAGCACTCCTAAGATGGGTGACCCACTGGGAAGTTGCTTGTGAGTTCCCAAAAACAAAACCGTGAGGGAATGGTAAGCCCAAATCGGACAATATCATGCTACGGTGGTGGAGCGGGCCCGGAAAGTGATCCACCCCAGGCCGAGATGTGACATAAATGAGATCAAGCTTGAAAAATTGGTTGGGAAGCTCAAAGCTTAACGTGGATGAAAGTGACTCCAAA